CCCCCAAGCCCCATGCAGGGGGTCAGTCGAGTCAAAAACTCCAAGAATTCCAAACACAGTCTTCCTGAGTCCCGTGTGAGTGCTGATAAAAGCGTCTCAGGTCAGAGGATGGTCTGATTTGTTAACATCGAGTCGACTTCGTTTAGTTTCGAACACGTAGAGAAGTTTGTCTGATTTAAGACGGACCTCCCTCAGAGCCATGCTTTGGTTTTATTTCTGAAACAGATGTTTCTGGAAAGCTGCCGATTGTGCGTCTTTTTTTTGTTTTAGTTTTTTGAGGCATGAAATCTGATGGCAGATATTTGCTGACGTACAAACTGAAACGTTATCGCTCAGCTTTTAGCCTTGATGATACTAAAATATCTTAAACAGATGAAACAATGTGAAGGAACCATCACAACGTTCCCACAGACGTCCTTCGTTAAAGAAGAATCTGAGGAATCTTAAATGAGCTTGTTTACTTCATTACTGTATTTAAAAACATGCAGGCGTGCAAACAAGAAGTGTTTGATCTAAAAACGAACAAAGTTGTGATGATCCTCCTCCTGCTGGAGCAGAGTTGTCGTCATGAGTCACTCAGGTTTATTTGAACGAAGCAGCGCCTCAGTTGTTGGCTCGCTGACAGAGCGACTGCAGCAGTCAGAACCACGGTTAGAACCGAGACGAGAGTTGACAGGAAGGCCGAGCGACGGGACAAACGCCAGCTGAAGTGTAGTCAACACAAACAAAACAACAACTCTGATCAAACACACAGCTGCAGCTCCTGACAAACGTGTTCCCTTTGAGTTGAGCGGGTTTAAAACAAGCTTCTGGAGGAGAGATGATTGTTTCTCTGGAGTCCTGTTGGATTTGAGCGAGRCAGTGTTCTGCCACAGAGCCCGATTTAAACCACACAACACAAACACACTGCAGGCTTTGTGAAAGCACAATGTGAAATATTCATTTACATTTCAGAGAGTTGCAAAAAACAACTTGTTTTAATTTTATTTTTATATCAATCATGATGATTTTCATTTCTGCATTTATAGAACATTTTCTTACTTTAAATCAGGCGTAGTTTGTTTAATTAAAACAGTCCATCTAGTGTTTTTGTTACGTTTTATGTGACCAAACCTTAAAGTACCTGTGGCATTCATATTCTTCAAATACAAAAGTCAAAGAAAACATGGTTATATGTGAGAAACTTGGCATAAAACACACAATTATACCCATTTTGTCACATAACTGACTTAAATTCTTTGAGTTTGGCTCAGCAGAAGGGAAACAGGAAGTGACATCAAAGGGGAACTTTAAGAAAAGGAACTTTCTGCTCTTTGTTTACTGACTCTTCTTTATCTCCCTGATAGAGACTCAAAATAATTTAAAGGAGCGACAGATTCTTCTACAGTCTGGGTTGTTAGCCGTTCTAAAAACACTCTGTTTACATGCAGATGTTCCCCTTTGACATCACTTCCTGTTACTGAACATGCAAATATCTCAGCAGCTGTTCGTCTGAGCYGCGTGAAATTTGTTTMATAATGTGTTATTAATGTTTTCTTTCCAAAAATGCATTCATATTTATTTTAAAAAAATGATGTCACAGGCACTTTAAAGAAACTGATTCTGCAGCTTTTTTAAAATCTGAATTTATTGACTGGAATTTGTCTAATTATTTTGGTTAATGAGTTAAAACAACTATATGAGTTTAGTAAAAGGTTCAGTCTGCACGTTTAAAATCTTTGGCACCTCTCTTACATTTCCTGCAGTCAGGTTTTCTTCTGATACATCTCTTTTTTTTTCTTCATATGGTTTTCATTTCCCTCACAGTGAATTTATCTGGTTCTGTTTTAGGGAGAACTTATTCTCTGAATGGATCTGACC